GATACGTGTAAAAAGATTTAAGTTTAGCTTATTATAGTATAGTTTATTCTAAAACATGTCGAATCATATAGAAACACATTCTCTTTATTTGACCAAAAGCGAGCAGACGTTTGAATTAGAAAATCAAATCGATAATCTAAAAGGCGATAAAAACATTAAAGTCAGAAAGGTAAGCTTTCATCCGCGTCACTTCAACATTACAAAATCCACAGAAATTGAATGGCAAACTCAAGTCGAAGAAAGTCCTGCCGAAAGGGCGGTAGACTGGCGTAACCCTATACAACAAGACGTACAATTCCATGATGAATTACGGCGTTTTCTACCAGAGTCTGAAATGCCTGAAGGTAGGGTCTTAAATAAGTGGTATAAACAGTCTAACGGAGAGTATGTAATGTATTACCAGCCTATACCTGACGAAGAAATTTATCGAGTTGATATTGAAGAAATGGTAGAAATGCCTGAACTGACATTGCCGTTGCAAGAATGAGAAGCAGACAGTTTAGTTTTGTTTTATGACGTAATAAGAGACTATATTCGAGCTTATGAAGCGGGGAATTTTGAAGAATTTAGTTCCTCAATTAATGATAAAATAAATGAACTAGAGGAAGACATAATAAAGATAGAAACATATAGAAAAGGTGCATTTCCTGCTCCAGAAATTACACGCCCGACACAATTTCTATTTAATTTAATTCAAGAAATATTAACAACTATAAAGAAGGTCGCTGCATCGCTTTAAATAGGGAGTGGGCATACGTGTTGTGCACTAAGTCAGACCAGAGCGAAAGTGCAAAGTTACTTGTAAACGATCAAATAACGAGTTTACATTTTTCGTCGAGAAACGAGCGGGGAGAAATCATCAACAATAAAGACGGCATAATCTTACTCGAGCTAGACATTTTTTCAAACGTGCACTTATAAACGTATATTTTAAAAAGATGACGACAGACAATCATTCGAATACGTACGTACCCCGACTTGAGTGGGTACCAAGCCGAAACACGCGACAAAAGTTTACCGCCTTCAAAACATTGAAGACATCCGCGGACGAATCTTACGAGAGCGTGACGCCAGAGAAACTTTTTACAAAAAGATCAAGCGAATACCTACCGCGCTCAAATACGAGGAATACGGGGTCGAAGCAATAGACGCCACGTCTGCCGCCATTGTGGCGCTGCGGCCATTGGAATCTCCGCTATTTTGGGAGTTATTACTGGACCCATTGGACTTGTGATGGAAGGCATAGCAATTAGTGCATTTGGCGCTTACGCGATGTAAAAGTACGCCAGTCGCAGGTTGACTCATAAACTGAAAAAGCACGATCAAATTAGAATGCTTGCGGACGCCAAGTTAAACACCATAGACAAGAACGTCTCAATCGCGATTGAAGATTGTAATATTTCTCAAAAAGAATTTGTCTTTATTTTGACCGAACTTAGAAAATTTAACGAATGGAAGGAAAAGATTCGGTCAAACACGAAGACCAAGTTGCAACAAGCTAAAACAATGGACAAAGCCGAATTTGACCGTCAGTGCAAGCCAAAGCAGAGACTTTAGCCAAGGAAAGAGTGGCAGTTTTTAAAAAAAGACCTTATGAAAAAACTCGGCGAGTAACTTCGTCCAAGGCTGTGCAGTATGCACAGGACCAAGAACAACCTTCCGCTTACCCTTCGGCACCTCCTTTTTAAAATCTTTTATAAAAACTAATGGGAGCCAATTTTAGCCAATTATCACGTGTACGTGAGAAAGATATTTTACGACTGCGTGATGCCTATACTTAGCAACGACATCTTTGACAAGTTCAAAACAATTACGACTATCGGAAAGTTACAGACACTTGTTTCACGTTGACCAAAATAAATCGTTTAAACAAACGAGGGATACTATATCAAACGGATTGGGAACAGCCTAATATTACGACAACAGCTATATGCCGGTCCTGTTCAAAAATTACAACGCACACAACTTACACATAATAAACGGCAAATATGCGGGATCCAGTTATATAAGCTTTGGTTGGGCTGATCCACCCAAAGGCTCGGGTCACGCGAGTACCTATACCGTAACTTGGATTACACAGTCTGATGCTGTGACATTGGCTTGGTGCGACTTTATCCCCAAAATAGTAAACTTACAGACGTGGGAATCACAAAAGTAAACGAGTCGATCAGAGCTTACGTTTACGCGCTGCTTGGTGCCCAGTCACAAACAGAACGAGCGTAATGGCACCTGCACCGGTTAGACGCCTTACAACAGTTTATAACGATCGTGGAATCTTCAATAAATTCGTTGTCTGATTTGGAGGCAAGTATAGACAAATTTCAGGATTCGTTGCAGTACGTGAAATCGCCGTTGAATTTCGTAGTGGCACCTGGTTTATACTTGGTGCCCTCCGACATGGACTTCCGCATCGGAACATTTGAGGGATACAACAGCAATTTGCAAATCGCGACAGCCGGCATGCGGACGGCTTATGTTCCAACTTTAAACTCTAGCGTTGTTCCTACGGAATCAGATGTTGATGAACAAGTTACTAAACAAGTTACAGAGACGGAACCTACTCTGAAAAGTTTACCAAAGTCGGATCCTATTTTACCACCAACAGCACTTCTCGAAAAGAAACCGTTGGGCATTCACAACGAAGAAAATTTGTCGTTGACCGTTGAAACTATTGCGGTCGCTGGACTTGGATTTATGTTGTACAACGTATTAACTTAAGTCAACTTTGACTTGGCAAAAATAAAAGGCAAAAAAAAAAAAACCAGACCGCCTTTCTCAATTTAGAGAAAGTGTTTTTTTACCCCGTAAATCTACTTACGTCTTTTGAACATAGGTCAAAATTAAAACGCCCACGCCCACCAATAACGTCCACACGTGATCTGCGATCCAACCGATCGCTTTACTCGCCACGTTGAATATCCAACTTAGTACACTCCCGGCAATGCCCCAAGCACTTTCAGACATAGTTTCTTCGAAACGTTTGACAAGTTTTGAAGTTGTCGTTTGATCCAATCGGTTACTCCTTCTTGAGACGGTAGCGTCGGTGTGGGTCCCGGCGATTCGATATTTGGACTAGGAGTTCCCGCGGCTCTGACAGAGGCCACTATGCTAGATACGATGGTACTGACCGCTAAACTAAAGGCCGTCAAAATACTGACGATCGTCAAGCTAGTAGTGGGGGGGGGGCAATATGATACACTTTTTATAGTACACTTTTTAAAGTACACAGTGACCTTGCTTATGAAATGATGGTATAACAGGATGAAACAGGATGAGTTGAAGGTGTGACGTCATGGAAAAATACCGACGGGCCTACAGGGAGATCCAAAAGTAATTAGGAAGTAGGAAGCGATAATCCCTAAACAAAAGGACCGTACGTGCCGCAGGGTTGTGAGCGATAATCCCTTAACAAAAGACCCGGAGAGAAAACGTTAAAAGGTAATAATTTTGATGCCGTAGTTCAAATGAATATTTGATTCGAAAGGTAGCAGATCGAGAGATAAATATGGGCAGCGAAATCCCAAACTGTCGGCCTACACGATTAATGTATCTGGCCTCCGAAGTAAAGGAGCGACAGCTAGCTAAACTGGCTGGTAATCTCGTCAAAGAACAGGACGAATCAAAGACGAAACCGTGGGAAGAGCTTTTGATGTCTCTCGGTCTTTCCAGCGCCGATTTATTTAGGCATAAAGAAGAAAACAGATTAAATTTGTGGGGGCAATGTTTTTAAGCCTTGGTGTAGTGGAAACGGCGTAATTATAAAGAAGCCACGATCGAAAGACTTCTCACGGAGTGTCAACGGTGTAATATTTCGATTGGAGCCTATGAATTGTTATACCTGGAGTAAAGTTTTAAGGGGAAAAACCGTTTAAGGTCGATCGAAAGGAATGGAATCTATATGATTTATGTTTAGAAAATGACGTCATGCTACGTCATGTCAATAATCTTTTTGTTAAAAAATGATGAGTCATCCTCTCAAGAATGACATCACGCGATATTACGGGCTGTTGCGCAATATCTCATTCAAGAAAATGAAATAAAAGCGAGTGGAACATCGTGAAAGTGGTATTTTCTGGAAGACGTTCAATCGCGAAAGATGGCCGGTCATCAAACACACACCCCTTGGTCCCCCGTGTAGATATGGCCGGCAGCCTTAATTCGGTCTCTGAATTTCGTCAAGAAATGGAACAGGCCCCAATGGCTCAAGTGCCTTTGGAAGAGGGATCGAGGAAAAGAGCGTTGCTTGAACAAAGAATGACCGCACCACTAAAGACCCCTAAAGTATTAGAACCAATGGAGACGGATTTCCAGTCTAGCGCCAAATTTAAATTGACAGAGGGACGCCATGTTGCTCAAGTGCCTTTGGAAGAGGGATCGAGGAAAAGAGCGTTGCTTGAACAAAGAATGACCGCGCCACTAAAGACCCCTAAAGTATTAGAGCCAATGGAGACGGATTTCCAGTCTAGCGCCAAA